GCGTGGTTGCGGTGGCCGTGAGAGCGTGGGGCTGGGGAGGGTGCTGGGCGCTTGCGGGCTGCTGCTTTTCTGTCTGACCCTAAGGCTGAACTGGAGGCGCGGACTGGCCACACGCGAGGTGCGTATCTGTCCACAGCAGCAGCAGCAGAGTTGAACGTGTCTGGGGGAGTGCAGAAGTGTGCGCTTTGTGGCTCTTCTCCATTCGTGGCCTCCGGGGTGCGGTCGCTGTCTGGGCCTGAACTTAAGGGACTGGGACCAACAGAAAACCCGCAGGAAAGCACAATGTTTTAAGGGTTGGGAAAGCTGGTGGGGGTACATATGGAGTGGGGGTTTAAATCACAGAAGGTACTAAATCTGCGAAGGTGGGCGTGAAAGAGCTGGTTATAGGAGAATTGGCGGTGGAGCAGTCTGTAATGGAAGAATAAGATAGATGCATTTCAGTCACAGCTTAAATAGAATTAGCAGTGAAAGAGAAAATTGGCAGGGTGTTTTCTGAAGTCCCTCCTGCTTTTTCTGAAAATACTGGTGCACGCAAATGTACAAAATAGCCAATACTGTGGATAAAATGGAAAGAGACTAGCACATCTCATAGAGATCACCATGCTGCTTAGCACCCAGGGGATTGTACTTCCTTGAGACACGCGAATAGCACAAGCTGGTTTTGGGGCCTTAGCCCAGAGTTTTGCCACAACCATTTGCAGTCCAGTCTGGGTAAAAGCACTTAACATTCATTGTGATTCATACCTTTTTTTCCCCCGCCCCTTCTGTAGCGCCTGACCAAACACACCAAATTTGTGCGAGACATGATCAGGGAAGTCTGTGGCTTTGCACCCTATGAGAGACGTGCTATGGAATTGCTGAAAGTTTCCAAAGATAAACGTGCTCTGAAGTTCATAAAGAAACGGGTAGGTCAATCCAACATCTTAATAAAAATAGCAAAACACCTGCTATAGTTAACTTTCTGTTTTCTGCCCTTCCCTTTTTAATTAATTCTCTTGTTTTTTTCAGTTGTTTGGGAAGTTACTGGTCTAATCTGAGGGTGTGGAGGGAACACTCCTTGGGTTGGGTGGGAGAGCAGGAGATGGACGTAAATGTACTTTGTCAAAAAGGCCCTGATATACAGTAATCAAGACTTGCCTCACTGTTTTTGCATTATTTGTAAACCTGGTGCAGGGAGGAGGAGATCAATACTGATGGAGGTTGGGTACCATTAACCAGGGGACTTGAAATGGGGTTCATTGAGGGCAGCCGTGAGAGTTGAAAGCAGGTTCTGCCTTGCTGCAGGTAATTCTTGAGTAGAAGCAGTACTGAGATGCAATAGCAAGTAGTTCCTGGCTGGCCGGTCGAGGTGGATGGGGTTCGAGTCCATGTTTACTGGGACTGTACCCTCTTGCCTGCTTTTTGAGTAAAGCGTCTTCAGTGAATGCCTGAAGCAGCCAAGAAGTTTAATCTGTTCTCTGCTGGGATAAACGCTGACTGCACTGCTCTCTCCCTGCAGGTTGGCACTCACATTCGGGCCAAACGAAAGCGGGAAGAACTCAGCAATGTCCTGGCAGCCATGAGGAAAGCTGCTGCAAAGAAGGATTGAGCTGTACAGTGTGTAACTCAATAAAGTCCTTTCTCCCAAAACCAGCGTTAGTGACTGCTGATGGTACATCTGCTTCAGTCTGTAGGAATGGGGTGCTCCTGGGGATGCTGAGGGACTGTGCTGATGAGGCCCTGAACTGCAGTAATCCAGAGCTGGCATCACTCTATTTTACCTGCAGCTGGAGATGGTGGGACTGGCCTGCGACATATTCTAGAGGGGGAATTCTCCTCTTCCAGACCTTGTGCAGCTGGCCTTTCTCAGAACATGGAAGCCTCTGCAACAGCTAAGCCTGTGAAGGCTACGATACCTTCCATCTCCCAGTCTGTCTCCAGACCTAGATGGTGGTAGGAGAGAAGTCAGCGGACAAAAATCACTGTTGAAAATAGTAACAACCTTGCAGTCCTTCCCCATGGCGCTTAACCTTGTGCAGTGCTTTTCTTGCACATCCATTTCCCCTTGTACCCCCCGTTCACACCTTACTTTCATCAGTGTGTTCTCAAATCATGAGAGAGAATTGCAGTAAGAGTTCCCTGAATTGCAGCAGGATGATTCTTTATTCTCCACTAAGGGCTACCTTGCTGTGAGACAGGACAAGTGCTGTTCTTCTGCCCAATAAATACATTTCAACTAGACTTCATGTAACTACTCTTCTCCAATTTAAATTCAGTTTTTCTAGCATTCACCATAAGATGAAGTACTCAAGTTCTCTGGCCCAAGCCTATGTTTACTGACATATAATAGTCATGCCAAGACACTGGTTCCCTTTTTCACTCTGTGAACATAACAGAGCTGCAGTGGCAGAGACAGTCTATGGTGGAGCGCAGTGTGAACTGCTGATACTGAGCACATTGCTCTTTTCTCCAGGTTTGCTCTCTAAACCTGGAGTTGCTTCTGATGGTATTGTCCTGTGATTTAATCTAGAGGACACCAGTGGCTCTCTGCAGCTGAATGTGCTAGCTCTGCTGAACTGTCCTAGAAGAATTTCAGTTTCCTCTCCAGCCTAGCAGGCTCATATGCTGAGACAGGGAGAGGTTTCTGAGAGCTACTCAACTACCAGTACATCAGGAACAGCAGATACATGAATCATAACCCCAGCTCTGTTTGCAGAAGTAATGCCTCCATAAGCAGGTACTTAGAATTACAGTGAAATAACGGAAAATTTTTTAATTGGATTAAACTAGCTCCACTGCTGGTGGCTGCTAACATGCGCATTCCTTAGGTAAAATTTCACAATTTTATTGGAAATAGTTAATATGGATCATAATTCAATATTAAAGAGTGAGAAATACTTTATTCTACCAAAGCCATAATTCATTTCAGCAGCTGCGCAGCAGCAATAGTTCCGTGTCCCACTTTAGGATTGCTCCCAGGTCACCCCATTTCTGGGCGGGGGCTGAGCATTGAGGGACAGACCACCTTCCAGTCAGCAGGTTGTTGAATGTCATCCTCCAGCAGAATCCAGCTTGGAAAACGCTATATCAAATACCTCTTTGTAGTGCTCAACAAAATGCACTTCTAGTCCTTCTGTAATGAATCCAGCAAGGTCATAATAATCCTTTTTATTCTCTGATGGTAGAATGATACAGGTAACACCCGCCCTCTTCGCCTATGGGGAAAAGAAATTTATGCAGTCTATTGAGTCCTAGAAATCCATCAATCTACTAGAAACACGCTCTCCCATTTTAAAAAGCAAGAACAGTTATTTAGGAGCCTGATCTGGCTTTACTCCGTTCTTTGGAGAGCAGCAAGGGCATTATTTCTAGGAGACGTCACTAAGGATGGATCATGTTCTAGATCTCCCCAAGCTCCTAAAACACGCTCCAGTCCCACCTTCTGAGCTGCAGGGACAGCTGAAGCAGGAGGCAGTTCAGTAGGACCATGTCAGCATATTGGGGGATTGTTTAGACCAGTTCATACTATTTTACAGAGTTTTAAAAGTCTGTTCCGACTTGGGTGAGGATAAACCCTAGAATCAAAGGAAGAATTAGAAACAGCTTATCAGGCCAACCCACCACATGAGTGTGCAAGACCCATAGCACCACTCTACAGAACCTTTTGATACATCTGCGTGGGAAGAAGCACGGAAAGTGGAGCCCACTCATCAAGTGGCAGGTTTGTACCTACTCACTTCATGGGTGATCCTGCACTTATCCCTGTGTGGGCACTCACACTGCTGCAAGTGCAGCCAGTCACCAGTGCCACAGACATCCCTATAATATGCTAGTCCTTCTGTAATGACTACCACAAAACAAAATGCAAAATTACCCATTTTAAAGCCATATGAGGAAAGAAATCACATTGCACAAGGCTGTAGCCCAAACAGATTTGGGGTCAGAACACTGATGTGATGCCCCAGCTCAACAGGCTACGGAAAGAGCTAATAACATTCTGGAAGACAGAAAAATATATGTGATGCAAGTCTGATGTAGGCAGGAGCTGTGCAGATGAAAAGTACAGAGAGATTTTCAACGCTTGGAAAAGAATTCTGAAAACTGCAAAGGATTGAAACCAAAAAAGCAAGCACCACTATAAATCCAGAGCTTGCAAGAGTGCTTCAGAGAACTCAGTCTATATAACTTACTATGGAGAAAAAAAAAAAAGAATTAAGTAACTTGATTATGATGTACAAAGAGATTTCACAGGGGAAAAAGCAAGGCAAAGTAAGTTCATTCCATCTAAAACAGAGAAACACAGGGATATCTGTACAAGATTTTAAGTGAGACAAATTCAAGCTGGAACTAGGGAACAGAGCCTTAATGTTAAGGATGATAGGTTATGGATACCATCATCACTGGATGCCCTCCTTAAAACAGGCACTTTGACTTGACACAGATTATTGGACCACACCAGTCTGTGATAGAGAAGAAAGCTTTAGCAGCCAGATGATCCCTTCCACCCTTAATTCTACCAGTCTAGTAACTAGGTCAACACAGATGCCCTGGCACAAAGCCTGGGATCCCATCTCCTTCCTCACAGCCAGAGACACAGGCAAGATCCCCATGTTCCCCCAGCAGGCTTCTCCACAGTGTATATTGAATCACTGCCTCTCCCGCTACAGGAGCAATCGCTGTGGTTGTCCCAGTCACCGCTGAGCCGAATCCAGGGCTCTCTTTCACAGATAATGCAACGAGACAAGAGCTCTTACCGCAATAGTCTTCTCCTTGATTCCACCAACAGGAAGAATTTTTCCAGTTAATGACACCTCTCCAGTCATGGCCACATTCTGCCTCACTGGGCAATTCATGGCCAGTGATAGCAAAGCTGTTACTATAGTACACCCTGCACTTGGTCCATCCTTTGGTGTTGCTCCCTGTTTAAAAAAAAAAAAAAACCAAAACACAAACCCCTGCCTTTAACTCATTCAAAGAGTAGCAAAGCCAGATAATGCCTTTGTCACTGCTGTTTTAACATGGCCCCAATTTCAGGGGTCTCACAAAGGCTTTTGTGAAAGTGCCGCTAATGGAATCCTGCTATTTGAATTGGCCAATCTATTAATGACAATGTCAGCCCTCATCTTATTCATGAGGAATATTCCATGAGTCTACAATTTAGTTTATGGCCTGATTGCCACCACAATACTCATTAGGCTCAGGACTTCGAATAAGCGACATGAGCAAAAAACACAGCATGAATGCTTTGAAGCTTTTTGTTGACCTAAGCCAACCATGGAAACAAGTAACAGAGGTCAGCATCAAGAGTCACAAAATAGCAGAGGACAATACTGAAAAATTGCTCAAGGCAAAAAAGATTGTTCAGTTTAGAAAGCCAAATAAAATCCAGGCCTAAATTAGTGAGTCTGGATTTATCTGACATCAAACACATCTTGGAAGTAAAAGCAGAAGAAATGAATGTTTGAGAGGGAGTAGAGGCAGAGGTAATGTCTGCTGTTTTATGATCCTCCCGGAAATGAACACACGTAACAACAAGTACCTTGACAGACACAGAGCAAGCTGCAACAAGGCGGCTGTGGACTAGGTTAAAGCATGCAATAGTTCAGAAGCAAAGCTTGGGCACAGTGGTAGTGCAAACCTTGTCTTCAGTAAAGCACCTGCCCAAAGTCTGCTACACAGTGTATGAGCCCCTCTGAGCATTATGTGCATTTATTTTCAATCCCAAACACTGGAAAAATGCAATCACTGCCATTATATGGACTAGGAACCATGGCACAGAGGCCAAGAGTAGTATTTTTAATTCTGTGTAAATGACCTGAAGACTTTATGAAGGCCTAGTAACACAGAGACCTAAACTTTGGTTTCCTTGTAGCTGCGTACAAGCTTTTATCCAAATCACTTATCTCTATGCTATGGTTTCCCCACCTGCGCAACAAGGCCAACAGCTACAACAAATCTAGGATTCCTTACAGCATTATCCAAACCCCTGTATTCTCGCCACATGCTTGCGGCAGAAAGGAATGGAAACAGCTCATAAGAACGCTTTCACAGGATCCTGAGGAAACCATCTTCTTTTCTAGGTTTTATTGCTAAAAGAGGGCATTCTGCACAACATATGAACAAATGAAGTGCCTTTCAGCTTCACGTCTAGGGGAGCAAACCAGCCTAGCTGCTATGCATGCTCTGTGAATTCTGAATGTTTACCTCTGGCACATGCAAGTGGATATGGGAAGACATGAGAAAGTCATTGTTGGGGTCTTTCTGCATCAGAAAGGCTCTTGCAAACGTGTAAGCTATTTTGGCACTCTCTTTCATTACATCTCCCAGTTGCCCTGTTACTTCAAGGGACCCATCCTTGTTCTCCTTGTCTTTGGGTCGCCTCAGGGATGTTTCAACAAACAGAGTGGAACCTCCTAAGAAAGAAAAGAAAAACAACATCCTGAGTAAAGTTAAAGGAAAATCAAATGAGAAGGTTTTGGTGATGCAGAAGCAATGCCAGGAATTTGGAACTGGTGCTCTCCGATGAGACACTAGCTCTTGGGTAAAGAGCAGTTGATAACCTGCTGTCTGAATCCTTCCTCTTCCTTGAGGAAGACTAGCTATAAATCT